ACGACAGTCGTTACAGTCGTTGAGACTACCTGTGGCCAAGACTGAACGACCATCGTTGGTATCTTCACCTGAGGCCAATGGGTTACGTTTGTTGAGTTTCCTGGGAAGTGATGAAAGGACAGCATTGTAAGTGGGGGATAAGTGGTGGCGTAGACCCCCTCCCCTGTTCAATGACGGCTTCTCAACCCTGGTGTAGATGGCTTCCTTGACACCTCTTTCAAACCATCCATCTTCTCTGTCTAAAATGTGCACCTGGTGGTCCTCAAACGAGTGTCCTCTGTCCTTCAGATGTAAGTAGACTGCAGAGTCTTGACCTGAGGAGTTGGCCATTACACCACAGCAACTACCAATAGTAGACCTCATCACAGCCACAGAATCAGCCATTAGGAAAAACAAATTAACAGAAACAGAAGCGGAACAGCTCAGACTAAAGGTATCTGCAGCCCTTTCTAATGCGAAGGCCCCCCCTTCCAACCCATAACCCCCGTAACCCATTGGCCTCAGGTGAAGATACCAACGATGGTCGTTCAGTCTTGGCCTCAGGTGAAGATACCAACGATAGTCGTTCAGTCTTGGCCACAGGTAGTCTCAACGACTGTAACGACTGTCGTCACAACACCAAGGAACACTAACGAACCAGCGGTATCGATGACCCGGGCCAACGACCCCACTGAGGTTAAATAGCTGAGTTTCCCTGCCAGTCAGTCAGAACTGAAGAAGTCCTTTGGATAAGGGACGAAACGTCTTCCAGTATCTTCAACCAAGTCCAGTTGCCCTTTCATTTTAACCCTCGTTGGATAACTATGACCTGGATGACTGAGAATCTTCATAGACATGTTTAGTTAAAGCATCAAACATTGAAATGTATATTGTAATTGGCTGTATATTAACTTATTGTCAGAAAACTGGTGGTTCTATGTAAAATTAAACGTTGACACTAACATATAGATAAAATTGCATGTTTCGCTGCGAAGCTTCGAATCAGGCTCCACCCATAGAAGCATCGTATCTAAATGTGAAATGAGCATAATTTTTTTACATAAAATAGGCTGGACGTCTAAAATATTACAGTCAGTTTGAACAGAGACACATTTTCAAATGCAAATGACCAAAATTATTATTACTGGGTCGGACTAATCATAGGTCCATGACTAAACTGTGTCTTATCTATATTTTCATCTTCAGTTATTGCCAGTGGTATTTTGTCCCTGTCAGGTTACAGGTGAATAAATATAATTAAAATCCAATGCAACATTACAGAAATTTACGTCTGGTAAATGATGAATGAGCAGACTACGCTGAATAAAATGTATTATTGTTAACTAAGTGACTCCTTTCATCCTGTGATTTAAGAGAAACATCATGGTCCACGTTTTGAGCATCACTGGGTTAAAATAGAGGCTTGTTTACCTGTTGCCATGGTGAATCGTGAATCAGATCCCCATTGATGATGCTTTTTTTAAATTCCCCCTGCACATGCAAGGGACCCTGAATCAGCTATCAGCTATATCTGATGTTATGGGGAAGGCCTTCAGTCAGCAGCCATACCACAAAGTGAATTTATTTTTTAAATTAGACGGATTTGATGACTTGATCTTTAAAACCTGATAGCTAGTCAACAATAGTTATGTCTGTGCCATCATCCCCTCCATGAGACTTCAGAGTTAGGGTGTATGATCTCCAACAAATATTTAATACAAGGTTTTAGTAAGCAAAAAGTTTAAAAAGTAAATAAATGCTCCTCCGATTCCCCCCTAATGTCCTTTTCTATGTCTTAAATGAATGGACCGAAGCTGTTGCACCAACATTGATAAATATTCCTATTGTATCAATAAAAACTGAAACACCTGATAAAATACGTTATTCTTTTTCAGTTCTAGTTACAGAGATACGTTTTTGTGACACTGCTTATCCAGGATAGCTGTTCCCAAAAACACGCTGGTACCTTGATCCTCTTTGTCTTACAGGATATTACATAGAACCTACACAAGTTGTCCAGTCTTGTGCCATGGAGAGCCGACAGTCTACAGGTTTTCTCCCCTCTGCCTCTAAAAGTCTTTAAAATGACATGAAAACCTGTAGACTGTTAATTCTCCATGGCAAAGGGTTTGACTCCCAACGCAGTTTTGTACATGTGCAGTAGTTCAGTTAAGTTTTACAAAAATAAATATATGAAAATAAGTTTGTTCTCTGATGTTTTGAATCTGATTTTGGTTTCTGATGTCATCTGTTTTTCAGTGGTACAGAGTCAGAATGGCTGGGGAGTGACTTACACTCCAACTCAGATCTGTGCCTTAAAAGGATCAACAGTGGACATAAACTGTACCTACACATATCCATCCAGCTTAAATAATCATGATACCAAAGTTGAGAAACATTCTGGTTTACGAAAGAGGGTAATAATGTTCAAGTGGATCTGAAAACGGACCCAGAGTATTCAGGTCGTGTGGAGTATATTTGTCAGAACAAACGCTGCACTCTGAGAATCACAGACCTGAGAGAGAGCGACTCAGCTGAGTACAAGTTCAGGTTCATAACAAACCAAGAACTTGGGAAATATACTGGTTCACCTGGAGTCACTCTGTCTGTCACAGGTAACATTTTCATTTAAATAGTTTTTTGTTCCAAAGTATCAATATCAAGCAATCAGTGCTGTAAATGTTTCATGAAGAAAATCTAGGCTCAAAGGTCCAGTTACTAAATGAAGTTTTGTCACAGGTAACATTTTCATCTGAATATTTATCAATTTAGTTTCAAGTGTTCAACATCTTATGAAGGTTACTTGCATCTGTGTGCTTGTATGTGTTGACAGTTAGAAATGAAGATTTCTGTTATTCATGTATTCAGATCTGCAGGTGCAGGTGAGCAGATCAAAGTATTCTCCCTGGGCAGAGCTGAAGTGTCACAGCAGCTGTCGTCTACCTGGCCATCCTTCCTACATCTGGTACAAGAACGGACAGAAAATTCAGGAAGAAACATCTACATATTCAGGCCCCTTTTCCTGCAGGCAGCTTTTCCTGTGCTGTACGAGGATATGAGAAGTCCCGCTCTCCTTCAGTGTGTGAGTTTACATCCAGTCTTCCACTGACATGACACCATCTGGTGGAGTAGTGTAACTAATGCTGTATCATGAATATATGTGTCTTTAATGGGTGACAGTAATTGTGTGTGTGTTTGTGCAGTTTAGTTCACTCAAGCTTTTTGTTTTAATTTTTAAGCACCACAACAATTTGAATGAGGGATACTTTCCCCACAAAATAATTATTATCAAATAGTTAGTAAATATAAAAGAAAAAAAGGAAATCAGCTTTTACTATAAAGGTGTGTAATTGGTTCAGGAAACACCAGAAGAAACACAAAGTCTTCAGAATTTTTGTGACCACAGCAACTCTGGACAGCAGCAATAATCAAACACCAAAAAAAAATGAAAGTAATCTGTTTTTCTTTCTTTAATTTCTTCCTGAATAAATGATTCTCTTTAGGATTGAACTATCAACAACAAAAGACTGTTTTACAAAAACATTTTAAAGTTAATGTATGTTAATATCTCCTGCAGATGCTCCAAAGTTTCCCTCCGTGTCAGCGAGTCCCTCTGGTGATTTAGTGGAGGGCAGTTCAGTAAATCTGACTTGTAGCTGTGATGCTAAGCCAGCAGCTAACTATATCTGGTACAAGAGGACTAAAAATCCAGACCATGAAGATCTCAGTAAAGAACCACAGCTTGTCTTCAGCTCCATCCAGTCCTCTGACTCTGGAGAGTATTACTGTGCAGCTGAGAACCAGCTGGGGAGGAGACAACTAAATACATCATTAATGTGAAATGTGAGTGAAACACAGGTTTAATGCTATTGAGAGATTAAATACACTCTAAAAATATCATCACAGTATAACATCATGTCAAGTGAACTTCTGGGATATCAATCTGTCCAGTTAGGAAGAATAAGTAATTGTGAATCACCTGTTTTTGGAGCGGCAACAGCAAGACAACCCCCCAAAAAATGAATGGTTTTGCAAGTGGTGGCCGCAGACAGTTGTTCTCTCCTTACCCTTCCTGACTGATTGTTCTTTAGTTTTGCATTTTGTTAGCGTCCTCGTCACCACTGGTTGCATGACGCAATATCTGCAGCCCATTCAAGTTGCACAGGTAGTCCAGCTCCTCCAGGGTGGCACGTCCATATGTGCCACAGCAAGAAGGTTTGCTGCGTCTCCCAGCACAGGTTTAAAAGAATGGAGGAGATACAAGGAGACCGATAATTGCACGAGGAGAGCTGGACACCGTAGACGGGACATCAACCCGGCAGCAGGGCCAGAACTGCTTCTTTGTGCGAGGAGGACCAGGAGGAGCACTGCTGAGACGTTGTCAGGAGTGCATACAGCCCCTTGGGCCATACATACTACTGAGTCACATCATGAGTTGCAGTTTAACAGTTAAATTTTTTACTTTTAACTTTTCAATGTGTCCAGTCCTCATTCAGTAGGTGATTTTGGTTTCCACTGACCGTTAAATAATTTTGTTCTCAACGAATTATACAGTGTACAGTAAATATTTAGAACTTCAAGATCTGATGTTTGATTTAAGTGTTCCCTTAATGTTTTTGAGAAGTATATGTCACATACTTTGATTTTTTCAGCTTGGGCTTTAGACTTTTCAATAAGAAGGCTGCAGTACAAACTGGGCTTTCTTTGAAAAAAGTGGACATTCAGTGTTTTTGGGAGTTTGACCCATATTATGGACTACAGGTCAGGATATTTCATCCTCTACTGCTTCAGTTTGATAAATTATTTAAATCTGTTTCTCGTGAGTCCCCCAACTTTGTGGAAGTGCAAAACTAAATCTCTGGAGTATCCTTTTAACTCGACAATGGAAAGATTTTACCTGCCTGCTTCAAGTTTTCTGCTGTAATTCACTGAGCAGCTTCAGTACATTTAGACCACGATCAACTTTCCACATCCTGCCAAATATGCATCAACTTATGATAATCTATATTCATGAAATACAGATGCTCCAAAGCTTCCCTCTGTGTCAGTGAGTCCCTCTGCTGAGATAGTGGAGGGCAGTTCAGTGACTCTGACCTGCAGCAGTGATGCTAACCCAGCAGCTAAATACACCTGGTACAAGGAGAACCAAACACTGCATCAAGGACCAGAAGGAAGTTATTATTTCACTTCCATCAGCTCCAAGGACAGAGGAATCTACTTCTGCAAGTCTGAAAACAAATATGGGCAGATAAACTCTACATCTCTATCTATAGACGTTCAGTGAAAGTTCACCTTTTTATTTCATGATCCAAGAGTAATTCTAAATCATACATGTGAGTGGAGTATGTCTCAATACATAATGTTTAATTCCTTACTAGATGCTCCAAAGCTTCCCTCTGTGGGGTTGGGTGAAGTGGAATACAGTTCAGAGTAACTGAGCTTTGCACTGCCTTATTTAAAACTCCCAGTTGTTTGCACCTCACCTGCACTAAATATTTTCAATATATATATTAAATATATATTTATTAATGTAATTTGCACTAAAATTCCAAACAAACAGGCAAAGTGAATTTCAAGTCAGAAAAATACTGCAGCTTTGTTTGCACTAATTTTTCAGAGCAGAGCTAAAGTCATTGATTCAAAATGAGCTCGCTTTACAATGACAGCCTCGATATTTAGCCAATGCAGATTTTCATTTAGAGGAGAAATTTAAGATGATGCCAGGTCGAACCAGATTTAGCCATGCACATGTGACTGAGAGAAGGTCATAGGACAGACCCTGGACACACCACAGAGGTTAAATCTTCCTGCTGGCCAGGGGGAGCTTGGGTATCCCAAAGGAGGACGTTCATACAATGTAATGAGTCTCTTAGGATGGCAAAAGATCTTCTACTATTTCAAAAGAACATACATAATACATGTGCAAAGAAAAATATTTTTGTTATATCACGCTATGTGGCCAAACATCTGAACACACTCAAATGAGTCATTTTGTCTTATTCCAGTGTTCCCAGGAGTATGGAAATCAGCAGTCTTTGGAACAACATCTGCTGTTTTCCTGGCTATCATATGGCTCTCTGTCCTCCTACTGATAGGGTGAGTAGACTTGTTTTACTGATGCATTTTACATTAATACCAGAGTCTTGTTAGCAGCCAGGTTGGCAGATGAACTATTATTTCCTTGGTTTTTAATTCATTCTAACCAGGAAAAAGAGATCCTCCAAGCAATCATCTGAGCCTGGAGATAGACCAGACGACAGGGAACAGGATGACCTTCATTATGCCAGTTTCCACTTCTCCAATAACCAGACAGATGCTGTCTACTCCAACATCATACCAGCTGTCCCCCGAAGACACAAGGAAGAGGAGGAGGAAGAAGTTGTTGAGTACGCTGCTGTCCAATTTAACAGTGCCAGTACTGCCCCAAGGTGAGCAGCTCCTCTCACAGGAACATTATCCTCACTAAAACCTCAACATGGCATGCAGTTAATGGAGCTGATGATCAAGTATTTCATTTTAACACTTTCATTCCTGTTGCATTTGCTTGTTTTCTTTACATTTTCACTATCACTGTTTGTATTTGTGAAGGAATTTAAGGGTACTATGACCCAGGTTTCCGCAGGTCATCATAGGGTCAATTGCTGAGCTAAAGGAAGCCAAAGGTGACAGCCAGGGCCTCTCCAAAACTGTAGGCCAGACTCTGTCTCTCCTCTCTGCCTGCTTGTCGGCTGACTGATGCAGCTGAGTTGATAAGGATGCACTGTTATACATCTGTTAGGTAACCCAAGGTCAAGATTATCTTTATGTTGTTTCATTACAGACTGACTGGCTATGTAGAAAAGGACACTTATTTGGACACTTAGTGAATCTGTGTAGGTCTAGGAAGGATAAATATCAGACAGGAAGTAGCCTTCAGATTTGGTGTTGGCATTTCATGTGTTCACATGTTGTGTGCCGGCACTGCATCTCCTCGGCCGAGTCTCATTAAACCATGCTGTGTAAGCCTTCATCAGTCTCTTGAAACGTCTTCATCACACCTGAACCTGGCTCACAATATTTTCACAGCAGTTTGAGTTAATACTATATCTTTATCTTTTTTTCTCAGGACCAGAAGTCAGGAAACTGTGGAGGATCCAGCTGCATTGTACAGTACAGTCAACAAAAGTGCTGAACACAACCGGAACGTCTAATCTGTGCTTTCTGTCATTTTTAAATGTGCTAGGCTCTAGGGATGGCAAAGTTAGTCTGTGGTTGGTTGGGCTGTCAACTGGTCCACCACTTTGGTCCAGAGTCCAGACTGAAATAGTTCAACAACTATTTGATGGATTGCCATAAAAGTTTTTACTGACATTTATGGTTCCCAGAGGATGCATCCTACTGACTTTGGTGATCCCGACTTTAACCCTGCACCAGAACCAGGGTGTCATTTTGTGACATATCTTGACAACTATTGGATGGATTGAAATGTGTTATTTGCTTCTTTGGTTTATGACCAAATAGCTGAAAAACTAATTCCCAGCATCCTCAGCTGTACTTTCTGTTTAGTGCTGATTAACAAATGTTAGAAACTAACACAACTAACATGGTGAATATGATAAACATTATACCTGCTAAACAAAACTAGAACCCACTTGTAAAACCATGTCTCCATAATGCTAGTGATAAAAAAACTCTGCAGGATACATTTTAACCTTATTAAAGATTAATTTAGACCTAGCAAACATTTTCCTAATTCTTCTACAGTATAGCTTCAGACATACTTTATCTCTGTAGTACTGTATCAGATATCTAATAGGAGGTAAGCCTGTAATTACTATTTTTTGTTTAATTGTAGTATAACAGTTGCTATTTAAAAGCTCATTGGGAGACAGAGAAAGAGGAGAGAGGAACATGATTTAGGTAATCTAGTTGTAATTTCCTTCTGTTGTCACTAGATTGTAGTCAAGAGCCATATTTTAGATCCCATAATGTGCACGTCTCTCTTATCTGTGTAAACAGTTTATTTTCACCACATTGTTACTGTCCTCTTTTTTTTTTACCAGTTCCATTATTACAGTTTTTAATTTCGGTGATTATTTCCGGTTATTTCCGCTCCATTATATTACATCTCATTACAGTTGTCTGTCTTGCTTCCTTTTTAATTCCTTTTTATTGTGGTCCATCTCCTTTGTTCTGTAATGTTTTGTTTTGCCTAAAATAAAAACATGAAATGCTCACAAGTCATATCTACACTGAGGCCACAAAATGGGAGTACATATTGCTTCATTATAAGAGGTTACAAGTAAAACAGGCAGGCGCACAATGGACTGGACACTAACATGCTGGAGTTTCAGTCCAGCAGGAGAAGCTTAACAAAGTGACAACATCTGTGTGCAGCGGACAATTTCAGTCTGTCACAGTCAATAGAAGAACTGCATGTGAACTAAACTAACAGCCACAGTCCTCTGATGTAGTAAATACAAAAAGTTAAATTTGTGTTGCAAATTGTAACATCTACACGAGGACGTCATAACTCCGTCAGGACAGAACTTCACCATCACTGACATCAGACCTGAACACAAATATTACTGTGAAGCCCAGAACTAAAGAGGACGTCTTAACTTCACTTTACATTTGACTGTTGTGGCAGGTACGTTTTTCACTTCACTTACACATGTACACATCAGACATCTTAATCCACCATATGATGAAAAGTGGGGAGATTAAGGTTAAAAAAGCAACTTGCTGAGTAGAAACCAGGAAGGCATTTTGTCATAACACTATTTCAGCAAATAATTTACTTGTAAACGTGATTAAATACATTTTGGATAGAATCTAATTATATACACAGTCTGGAGCTGCAATGATTAATTGCCAACTATTAAATTTATCGCCAACTATTTTGATAATCCATTCATTGGTTTGAGTAATGTTTCAGCGTCCTGATTCAGTATCTGTGATGTTTCACTGCCCTCTAGTGGTGAACCTTTGTTGTGGCACATTCAGGCTTCCTCACTCTGAGAGCTCCCTCCACTGCCTGTTTCAAAGAGTCACTTCACCCAAATTACAAGAAGACATATTTTCTGTCTTACCTCCAGCAGCATCTTGTCAGATGTGCTCTGTGTTACAGTGACACAGAGTCACAATGACTGTGAGTGAGAGAGCTGCAAAATTTAATTCATTGTTTCTGATCTACTTTTCTTACATGTTTCTCAATACTGAATAAACACTGAGCTCAGCACGTGACTTTTTACATCCCATACTTCTGCAGTCCATCTCTTTGAACTCATACTGGTATAAAGGTTATTTCACTGTCTAAAGATGCACTAGACGTGTGAAGTGATGCATGAAACCAACTTTCACGCCTGTCTGTTCTCTTTTCTCTTTTCTTGTGTCAGTAGGAAGCAGCAAACAGGTTTAATACCAACAGGCCATAACACTATTTTCTTATTCTCTCTTATTAAGTTCTTAGTTTGCAAATCGTCACTTCTTTATTTTGATGTTGGTGTTAACTGGCATTTGGCTCATCATGAATATTAATAATCTAAAGAGGAAGGAAATCTAGTAGTTTAACAGCCTGATATCCGTGTTCTGCTTGCTGACACAGAGGAAGGCTTCTTTAAAGACAGCGTCCTTCTTCATTGTAAGTAGAATTGTTTATTGATGTGACTGATACTGTATATCTCCTGTGTACATTATTTTATCTGCTAACATGTTTTATTGTCTCTGAAGCCACACAGAGAGATGAGAGGAGCAGCTATGAGTTTAACTGCAGCAACGAGTGGATTTGTCGTCTTCCTTCTCTCTGTGTCAGGTACTGAATATCTAAACTTATATTCATTGCATTAAAACAGGGGAATCTGGGAAAATATGGGTCTTGTAAAAGTAGGCTGAAGGTCAGATGTGAAAATAAGTGGATCAGAATGAAGTATCAGGATCAGTTGTTCACACTGTATGATGAAAACAGCCAGTTTAGGGGGTATTTCCTAATTTCATTGTCCTACTTGCGCTAATGCAAATGTATATTGAACAGTGTGAGTTCATTTTTCCAGAGCAGATGCTGCCTAAACGATGTTAGCACTATGCTGTGTTATTGTCGCATTGAATGAAGACGTGCAATGCAATTTAGCGCACCAAAGCGTCGGCTTGTTCCATTATCCAACTTGTACAATGGAAATTAGACAAGAAAGTGTAAACCGGAAACAGAGACTTCAAATAGTTCCTATTTGAAGCTACTTTTATCACGGTGAAGGTTTTAGAGAGATAGGCCTACTGGTCTCACACAGTGAAGTCATAATGACACAA